TATGTACTTGATAAATAAACCTCACCCTTTTAGTGTATGAACCCCCAGAGATCATCTCATCTCTGTATGTAAGAGGTGAAGGAATGTTTCTTTCCCCTCTTTATTTTCCCCTTTGGGGTAGACCTCATTAAAGATGAATATTGAATGCCACTCGCTGGAAAAAAACCTCTCAAAATGTCGTAGCTTTAAAAGGGTATTTACAAAAACCTCATTTTTGTACCCAAGTCTCTCAGAGCTCGGCTGATAATTTTCAAAACTTTTTATGTTTACATCCCGTGGGGAATGTGACAGTCTTTCCTGTGGTGGAATGTGACAGTCTTTTCCTGTAGTGGAAAGTGACGCTTATCCGTGGGGGAATGAACAGTCTTATCCTGTGGTGGAATATGACAATTCTTTAGTGATGTAAATTTTAGTTATCCTTGGCGGAAAGACAGTCTCCCCTGTGGTAAAATGACGTTAGTCCCCCTCTTGGATGGAAAATGACAGGGAAACCCATCCTGTGTGGAAATGACAGTGGAAAACCCATCCTGTGATGGAAAAGACAGTGGAAACCCTCCTGTGTGGAATATGAAGTGGAAACCCCTCCCGGGGAATATGACATGGGGAACCCCTCCTGTGAGGGGAAAATGACAGTGGAAACCATCCTGTGATGGAATTGACGTGGAAACCCCCTTGTGGAAATGACTGGAAACCCATCCTGTGATGGAATATGAAGTGGAAACCCCTCCTTGATGGGAAAATTTACAGTGGAAACCCATCCTGTGATGGAATTGACGTGGAAACCCTCCGTGTGGAATATGACATGGAAACCATCCTGTGTGGAAGACAGTGGAAACCCCCCCCTGTGATGGAATATGACATGGAAACCCCTCCCCGTGATGGAATATTACAGTGGGAAACCCTCCGTGATGGAAAAATGACAGTGAAAAAACCATCCGTGACGGAATATGACAGTGGAACCCCCCTGCGATGGGAAAATACTAGAAACCCATCCCGTGATGGAATATGACAGTGGAAACCCATCCTGGATGGAAATGAAGTGGAAAAACCCCTCCGTGATGGAATATTTAAAGTGGAAACCCCCCTTATGGAAAAGACAGTGGAAACCCATCCGTGATGGAATATGACGGGGAAAAAAACCCCTCCTTGATGGAATATGACATAGAAACCATCCTGTGAGGAAAATGACTGGGAAACCCCCCCTGTGATAGAATTGACAGTTAAACCATCCTGTGAGGAATTGACAGTGGACCTCCTGTGAGGGAAAATGACAGTGGAAACCCCCTCCTATATGGAAAATAAAAGTAGAAACCCCCCTTGATGGAAATTTTAAGGTTAAACCCCTCTGGATGGAATAGAAGTGGAAACCCCTCCCGTGATGGAATATGAAAAATGGAAACCATCTTGAGGAATATGACAGTGGTAACCCCTCCCGTGATGGAAAATGATAGTCCCCTCCGTGATGGAAAATGATAGTCCATCCCCGTGATGGAAATATGACAGGTTTTAAAAAACCCTCCCTTTATGGAATATGACAGGGGAAAAACCCCTCTTTGATGGATATAAAGAGGAACATAGCAAAATTTCGTTCTCTCTATGTAACCCCCCTACCAAGGGGGGAAAAAGATGGGAAACACTGACTGGTGTACCCCCCAAAGAAACCCTGTTATAAAAGGGGAACGAACCCTTGATTATCCAGTTTTGCTAAAAAGAAAATAAGAATAATAATTTCCTTTGCCCGGCCTTCCACAGTATTTTGGGCGAGGCGACAACTTCGTCTGAGTGTTTTTTGGTTTTCCCGGGAACCCCCCGACAGCTTTCAGCCACAACGGGTTTCCCCTTCTCCCCCTACGATGGGCAAAACGAGGTCCTGGTGCGTCCCCGGCCCCCGGGTTATGGGGGGGGTGGTGGGTTTTAAGGTATGTTGCCCAGGTTTTGTGGGTTTTTGGGAGGCCTGCCCAAAGGGTTTTGGGGGTTCAGTGGTTTAGAAAGACGGTAAGCAAATAGGACAATTTTCTAGTAAACGTTTCGGGCTTGGGGCCTTGACCACTTTAATTTTTTAAACAATTTTGGGATTTATTAAAATTTTTTTTTCCCCGGTAGGTTCTACTTAGGTTTATGGTGTCCCTGGCTGGGTTTGGGAACCTCTGCCTCACACACTGAGGTCGTGGGGTTTTATCCCCGGCAGGGGGAAACATCGGGATGTTTCCTTACACTATTGTCCCCGTTCAACTGCAAGTTGAAAAGCAAAGTCACAGGGATGTTAAGGGAAATATTTTTTCAGTCTAGAGTTGTTAGGGAAATAGAACAAACTGGAGAGTAATGTAGTGGAGGCAATATCCATACATAGCTTTAAGAAGAGGTACGATAAAGCTCGTGGAGCAGGGAGTGGACCTAGTAGCGACCAGTGAAGAGGCGGGACCAGGAGCTGTGAACCAACCCCTGCAACCACACTTAGGTGAGCACACACACACACACACACACACACACACACACACACACACACACACACACACACACACACACACACACACATGTAGTTCCCATTTTTAAAAAAGGAGACAGAAAAGAGGCACTAAACTATAGACCTGTGTCATTGACGTGTATAGTATGCAAAATTATGGAGAAGATTATCAGGAGGAGAGTGGTGGAGCACCTGGAATGGAACAGGAGTATAAATGCCAACCAGCATGGATTCACGGAAGGCAAATCCTGTGTCACAAACCTTCTGGAGTTTTATGATAAAATAACAGAAGTAAGACACGAGAGAGAGGGGTGGGTTGATTGCATCTTCTTGGACTGCAAGAAGGCCTTTGACACAGTTCCTCACAAGAGATTAGTGCAGAAGCTAGAGCATCAGGCGCATATAACAGGAAGGGCACTGCAATGGATCAGAGAATACCTGACAGGGAGGCAACAACGAGTCATGGTACGTAATGATGTATCACAGTGGGCACCTGTGACGAGCGGGGTCCCACAGGGGTCGGCCCTTTAGGACCAGTGCTATTTTTGGTATATGTGAACGACATGACGGAAGGGTTAGACTCAGAAGTGTCCCTGTTTGCAGATGATGTGAAGTTAATGAGGAGAATTAAATCTGATGAGGACCAGGCAGGACTTCAAAGAGACCTGGACCGACTGGACACCTGGTCCAGCAAATGGCTTCTCGAATTTAATCCTGCCAAATGCAAAGTCATGAAGATAGGGGAAGGCCACAGAAGACCACAGACAGAGTATAGGCTAGGTGGCCAAAGACTACAAACCTCACTCAAGGAGAAAGATCTTGGGGTGAGTATAACACCGAGCATGTCTCCGGAAGCACACATCAATCAGATAACTGCTGCAGCATATGGGCGCCTGGCAAACCTGAGAACAGCATTCCGATACCTTAGTAAGGAATCATTCAAGACACTGTACACCGTGTATGTCAGGCCCATACTGGAGTATGCAGCACCTGTTTGGAACCCGCACTTGATAAAGCACGTCAAGAAACTAGAGAAAGTACAAAGGTTTGCGACAAGGTTAGTTCCAGAGCTAAGGGGAATGTCCTATGAAGAAAGATTAAGGGAAATCGGCCTGACGAAACTGGAGGACAGGAGGGTCAGGGGAGACATGATAACGACATATAAAATACTGCGTGGAATAGACAAGGTGGACAAAGACAGGATGTTCCAGGGAGGGGACACAGAAACAAGAGGCCACAATTGGAAGTTGAAGACACAAATGAGTCAGAGAGATAGTAGGAAGTATTTCTTCAGTCATAGAGTTGTAAGGCAGTGGAATAGCCTAGAAAATGACGTAGTGGAGGCAGGAACCATACACAGTTTTAAGACGAGGTTTGATAAAGCTCATGGAGCGGGGAGAGAGAGGGCCTAGTAGCAACCGGTGAAGAGGCGGGGCCAGGAGCTAGGACTCGACCCCTGCAACCACAAATAGGTGAGTACAAATAGGTGAGTACACACACACACACATACACACAGACATGACAGAAGGGATAAACTCAGAAGTATCCCTGTTTGCAGATGACGTGAAGTTAATGAGGAGAATTAAATCAGACGCGGACCAGACAGGTCTACAAAGAGACCTGGACAGGCTGGATGTGTGGTCCAGAAACTGGCTCCTAGAATTTAACCCCGCCAAATGCAAAGTCATGAAGATCGGAGGAGGGCAAAGAAGACTGCAGACAGAGTATAGACTAGGAGGCCAAAGGCTGCAAACCTTACTCAAGGAGAAAGACCTAGGAGTGAGTGTAATACCGAGTACATCGCCAGAAGCACACAACCAGATAACTGCTGCGGCATATGGGCGCTTGGCAAACCTGAGAATAGCGTTCCGGTACCTCAGTAAGGAATCGTTCAAGACTTTATACAATGTGTACGTCAGGCCCATACTGGAGTACGCAGCACCAGTTTGGAACCCACACCTGGTCAAACACGTCAAAAAATTAGAGAAAGTGCAAAGGTTTGCAACAAGGCTAGTTCCAGAGCTAAGGGAATGTCTATGAAGAAAGGTTAGGGAAATCGGGTCTGACGAAAAAACTGGAGGACAGAAGGGTCAGGGGAGACATGATAACGACATACAAAATACTGCGTGGAATAGACAAGGTGGACAGAGACAGGATGTTCTAGAGATGGGACACAGAAACAAGGGGACACAATTTGGAAGGCTGAAGACTCAGATGAGTCAAAGGGGATGTTAGGAAGTATTTCTTCAGTCATAGAGTAGTTAGGAAGTGGAATAGTCTGGCAAGCGATGTAGTGGAGGCAGGAACAATACATAGTTTTAAGATGAGGTATGATAAAGCTCATGGAGCAGGGGGAGAGAGGACCTAGTGGCGGTCGGTGAAGAGGCGGGGCCAGGAGCTGAGTCTCGATCCCTGCAACCACAATTAGGTGAGTACAATTAGGTGAGTACACACACACACACACACACAAACAGGTGAGTACACACAATGTTTTTCACAGTGTATTGTTCACATGCCTTTCATTTCTTTCTAACAGTTGCTTCGAGAGTAACTTGAACGGTGAATACCACACTGACCCGAAGGATAATGACTACTACCGTGGCGTCATCTGGGAGCTGTGGCTGGGTGACTACTCCCTCAAGGCGACAGAGATCAAACTACGCCCTGCCTCCCAGAGTAATGACTACCCTGCCTCACCATACCCTACACTGCCAACAGAGCCATACCCTACCCAGCAAGTGCCAGAGCTGCCACTCAGAAAACAATAGGCCTACACATTCCTACAGGAAGAGGATGGAGGAGTAGCAAAAGCCGCCTTGTACTACAAAGCCGCCTTGTACTACAAAGAATGCAGCCCGGATCAGATCCTGGGCCGGAAGTTAGTAAACTGTTGTGGGTGGCATCTTGGGGGAAGAACTTGAAGGACCTTGATGGAAATAAACCACATTGCCGAATTTTCTTTCATTATTTGCCGAGTAGGTAACAGAAGCTAAGTAAGACCTGGGTAGCTTGAAAAAGAAACTAGATAAATATATGAGTAAAAAGCAGTGCGGATCTACATTTTGAGGGCCATGCAGCACGAACTGTTATGGGGGCCCCTTCGCAACAACTTCTCATACAGTAGACCCAAAAATCTTAAACAGCATAGACCAAAGCAGCTTCTGGGGCCCCTCCGGGATTAGAGCCCCTGAAGCTATGGCTTCATTAATTTCATAGTAGATCCGTCCCTGGTGAAATGGACTGGATTTGATTAGTACCTGAGGTACTGAAGCTAATTCTAGGGAAGCTTTGGGAAAAGAGCTGCACAAATATGTGGGTGGGAATAGCTGCTTTTTACAAGGACCTGCCTAGTATGGACCAGTAGGCCTGCTGCAGTATTCCTTCATTCTTATGTTCTTATTCTGGGTTATTAACCCTCCGGGATTAAAAATCTGAACACAGTAGCAACGATAAATTCCTTGGGTAACACTGACATTGGGTTGGACGAATATTTTTATTAGTGGGTTTGGGTTTGACAAGGACCTGCCTAGCATGGGCCAGTAGGCCTGCTGCAGTGTTCCTCCTTATGTTTTTAAAGCCTCTTATAGTTTATTCAGGTTATTAACCCGACAAGGATAGTAATCGTGTATAACCATAGAAAGTCTGTCAATGTAACTTGTATCCACTGGGGTCTTTTTCGAGAGAATTCACCACTACAGAGTCTGCTAACATCCAGTTACACACTGACTGCTAGGTCAACAGAGGCAGTATTTTTGTCTCCTGTTGTACACACTCCTGTTGTCCACACACCCACTGTATACACCTGTTATACACACACCTGTTGTACACAATTGTTGCATACACACCTGTTGGTTTAGAAAAACACGTAAGCAAACACTAAGACATATTAGAAAACGTTTCGGTCCTGGGACCTTGATCAGGGTCCCAGGACCGAAGAGTTTTCTTATGTCCTAGTGTTTACTTATGTGTCTTTCTGAACCAAATTGCCGGTATTTATTACCAAGGTTTATATACCATACACATGTTATATATAATTCCCACAAAATTTAATATATAACGATATTACCCACATCCTACCTAGGACACATACACCGTGATACACAAATACATATACGTACTTGTATATTTGTTATTACGCTGACGTTTTCGGTCTGAAAATCCGTGTAGTAATAATAATTTCCAGTTTGTTTATATTCTTGTATAGTAGCTACCCCATAAATGGTATGACATACATGGTTCTGTACTCGTAAATTGTTTTTTAATGCCCTCTCGCCTATTGTTTATGTTGGGTTTAAGGGCGCCATCGGTCTGCGGAGCCGGTAATTTTCTCGTGTCCGCGGCCCGTCTAGGGGTCTGAGGCCCATTTATGTGCTTCATGACCCAGCTTGGGGTCCGCGGCCCATCTTGGGGTCCGCGACCCATCTAGGGGTTCACGACACATGTAGGTAGTCCACGACCCATCTAGACGGGATTCAAGGCCCATCAAGGGGTTCTTGACCCATCTATAGGGGTCCCCGCCCATCTAGGGGTCCTCGACTCATCTAGGGAGTAACGACCCATCTAATGGGATCATCGACCGACCTATCATGGGGGTTCACGGCCCACCTAGGGGGTCCACGGCCCATCTAGGGGGAGTTCACGATCCATCTAGGGGTCCGCGACCCACAGCTTGAGAACCAAGGTATGTAACCCTTCAAGATGAATACTGTGATGAATATTTTTGGAATTGGGAAGCGATCGGCTTTGAGTAGCTTAGACTCCTCGGATCAAGACCCCCTTTTAGGATGCAGTTCCAACACTTATACTAATCTACTCATCACTAATTACAATAATAATTATTATTATCACACTACGTATCGAGTAATTTTTTTAAATATAAATAAATGTATTTAAATGTATATTTTATTATTAAAAATAAAATATAAACTTAGGGTTGTCAATTATGATTTATTTTTATTTTAATAAAAATTACGTGTCCATTATACATCGATTTATTAATAACATCTGTAAATTTTGTCATAATTTTTTTTCGTATTTTGTATTTTCCATAATGTGACGGCTGTCATTCACAATGTATATATATATATATATATATATATTATATATATATATATATATATATATATATATATATATATATATATATATATATATATATATATATATATATATATACATATATATATATATAAATATATATATATATATGTATATAAGTAGGTGTGATTTCTACAGAGCGGTCTCTTCTACAGACGTCTCTTCTACAGAGCGGTCTCCTCCCGAAAAGGCCTTCTACAGAGCAGTCTCTTCTACAGAGCAGTCTCTTCTACAGAGCAGTCTCTTCTACAGAGCAGTCTCTTCTACAGAGCGGTCTCTTCTACAGAGCAGTCTCTTCTACAGAGCGGTCTCTTCTACAGAGCGGTCTCTTCTACAGAGCAGTCTTTCTACAGAGCGGTCTCTTCTACAGAGCGGTCTCTTCTACAGAGCAGTCTCTTCTACAGAGCAGTCTCTTCTACAGAGCAGTCTCTTCTACAGAGCGGTCTCTTCTACAGAGCAATCTCTTCTACAGAGCGGTCTCTTCTACAGAGCAGTCTTTCTACAGAGCAGTCTCTTCTACAGAGCAGTCTTTCTACAGAGCGGTCTCTTCTACAGAGCAGTCTCTTCTACAGAGCAGTCTCTTCTACAGAGTGGTCTCTTCTACAGAGCAGCCTTTCTACACGAGCGTCTCTTTACAGAGCGGCCTTCTACAGAGCAGTCCTCTACAGAGCCAGTCTTCTACAGAGCGTCTCTTCAGAGCGGTCTCTTCTACAGAGCAGTCTCTCCTACAGGGCGGTCTCTTCTACAGGGCGGTCTCTTCTACAGAGCGGTCTCTTCTACAGAGCAGTCTCTTCTACAGGGCGGTCTCTTCTACAGAGCGGTCTCTTCTACAGAGCGGTCTCTTTACAGAAACGGTCTCTTTCTAGAAGCGTTCTTTACAGAGCGGTCTCCCACATACGGTCTCCTCT